GGCTCAGAGCTGGAGGGTCAGGAGGACCGCTTGCGAGACTAGCCCTCTCCAGGACGACACATTTGTCTGTTTATTTTTAGCGGAGACAGAGGTCCAGCTATCGTGCCCAGGCTGGTCTTGAACTCCTGGGCTCGAGCGATCCTCCCGCCTCGGCCTCCCAGTAGCGGGGACTACAGGCGCGCGCCACGGCGCGGGAGGATGTCCCGTTTATACCAGGGTGCCGGTTGCTGACGCTGTGGCTCAAACCCAAAGGCAAGTCTGAGCAAACCTTGCATCCTTCGCGTCTTCCGGGCTGAGCCCCGCGGCGCATTCACCCAGGTGGGTTCTGCATTCTTGGACTAAGACCACGGGCTACTCAAGTACGCTCTCAGATCCACCTGGTGTGTAGACTGACCAGAGTTGAGAGTTGAAATCCCTCTTTCGCTTCTCACTAGGTGAAGCTGCTAGTCCTTGAAGTCCCTTGGCTATAGCCGGAGTCTTTTTTCTCCTGTGCCAAATGGGAATTACAGCGGTAACAGGGCTGCCAGGAGACGTGGGCGAAGTTACGTATGTTAACGTTGGGGGCACACCCCGGGCTCAACAATCACTACCCCTGTGTGTCACATTCCAGATGGGTAGTGGAGGGGCGAAGGGAAAACCTCCCGATCGCCTTCCAAAGGTTCTCTGAGATTACTGACAAAAGGCAGATTAATAGGGGAAAAATCGTACAAATTTGTTTGATCATAGTTTTAGGTGACATGGGAGCCTTCAGAATGAAGACCCAAAAACACGGGAAACTGCCCCTTTTTATGCATAGGTTTAACAAAATAGGGACAGCTTTGTAGAAGTATGATTGGACAAAAAGGGTATGATCTAATGCTTTTTAAAAATTTTTTTATGGGTGGGCGCGGGGGCTCACGCCTGTAATCCTAGCTCTCTGGGAGGCCCAGGCCAGCGGATTGTTTGAGCTCAGGAGTTCGAAACCAGCCTGAGCAAGAGCTGAGACCCTGTCTCTACTAAAAAGAAGGGAAAAAAAAAAAAAACAAAACCCAGCTGGGTGGGGTGGCACGAGCCTGTAGTCCCAGCTACCAGGGAGGCTGAGGCAGGAGAATCGCTTGAGCCCAGGAGTTGGAGGTTGCTGTGAGCTAGGCTGACGCCACAGCACTCTAGCCCAGGCAAAAGAGTGAGACTCTGTCTCAAAAAAAAAAAAAAAAAAATTTATTTAAACCCTTTTTTCTTTTTAATGTGGTGGGGGGCTGTGAGGAGGGGTGTTCAACTGCCTTGTTTGTTTTCATTGAGACAGAGTCTCACCCTGTCACCCTGGGTAGAGTACAGTGGCCTCACTGTAGCTCACTGCAACCTCCAACTCCTGGACTCAAGCGATCCTCCTGCCTCAGCCTCCCTGGTAGCTGGGACTACAGGCTCGTGCCACCCCACCCAGCTGGGTTTTGTTTTTTTTTTTTTTCCCTTCTTTTTAGTAGAGACAGGGTCTCACTCTTGCTCAAGCTGGTCTCCAACTCCTGAGCTTAAGCGATCCTCCTGCCTTGGCCTCCCAGAGTGCTAGGATTACAGGCGTGAGCCAGCACAGCTGGGCCGGATCTAGTGCTAACAGACTGGGGAAATCCAGCATGGCCTACGTGTCTAGATTCTTCTTGGTGTCTCTGTGCAGCATCCTTCCTCCTGGGTATGAAGGAGGACCTTCTCTGGAATGGGGGTCTTATGACCTGCAGTCAGACAAAGTAGGTCAGATAATTTCTTTATGGCCAGTTTTTACACAGAGAGGCAGGGGAAAAGTTAGAATAATATTTTTTGGCTCTATGGCTGGCTTTGGGGAAGAGGGATTCTAGTTTCTACGGCTGGCCTGGGGGAGAATGAGGGGCCAGTTTTTCTGAGGCCCTGCAGCAGTCCAGCAGCCAAAGCAGGAACAGTTGCATTTTGTCTGTTTGCACACAGAACACAGTCCTGATCGGTTCTGCCACAGCCAGAGCCTCTCTCTTCACCTATTTTCTGGAAGTGAGGCACCGAATGTGGGCTGAGTTTTATTTTTAAAAATCTGTCCTCCTCCCCTTCCCTACCTTCCCAGTCCCACCAATTCAGTCCACATAGCAGTGACCTTTCTGCCCCGTGTTCCTAGCTCTCCCTCCACGGCCTCACAGCACTGCCAGGTGGAGCTGGCCCAGGACGGCGACCTTGAATTACCGACTTCAAAGAGCTTCCCTCACCCAGTCCCAGCCTGGCAGAGCTACTGCTCAGGCCCTGGGATCCAGGAGACTGGGCCCAAGGGGAAGCTCTTTTGTGCCCTCAAAGTCTGAGGCCTCCATCAAAGGCCTGGTCTCGGGCCAGCGTGTTCCAGAATGACCCCTTAGCCCTTTCACTCTGTTCCCAACTCTCTTGCTCAAAACACAGAGACCATAGAAATGAGACTTTCATGCCAACCTCTATTGCCAGGCACCTGGGCCTCAGTGTCCACGCCTGTAAATTGGAAGGCTGGAGCCCTGCAAATCCTCCTGGTCCAAACAATCAGGTTCAGTTATGTATGTCGACTACCCACACTGCTACTTCTGAAATGGCGGTAACCAAATTGCTGCCCACCTCTAAGGGCTCCCCTGTTCCTCTAAATAGTGGGCTGGAGTCTTGAAGGCCCGGCACGAGGCAGTACTGCAGCCTCAGTGTGTTCCAGAGTCTGTCCTTTGCCTGCTGAGGGGTCAGGGAGGGAGCGCTTGTGTCCTTTGCAAGCACAGCAGCACCCGGGGCAGTGGAGGCGAACAAAGTCTTTCCAAACCGTGCGTCACTGCCTACCTCCCAGGCCTCCAGCTCCATGCCAGCCTTCCCCATACAGTGCCTGTTGGTGAGGCAGCTGGTCTTGGCTCCATTGGCTCAGAGAGGTTAGGACACTTGCTCAAAGTCACACAGCTGGGAAGTAGTAGAACTCCACTTCAAATCCTCATACCCGGCTCAAAGGCCATTACTCTTTCAAGGAGAAAAAAGAAGAAATAAGAGCCCCTATTTAATAATATTTTGCTGGTTTGGAATTCCTGGTGGTGGTAACTATTGGCCCTGAAAGCTGCTGCAGAGAAAGGGTGTTTAAAGGAAAGGGGTTTAGGCCAGGCGCGGTGGCTCACGCCTGTAATCCTAGCACTCTGGGAGGCCGAGGCGGGCGGATTGTTTGAGCTCAGGAGTTCGAGACCAGCCTGAGCAAGAGTGAGACCCCGTCTCTACTAAAAAAAAAAAATAGAAAGAAATTAATTGGACAACTAAAAATATATAGAAAAAATTAGCCGGGCATGGTGGCACATGCCTGTAGTCCCAGCTCCTCGGGAGGCTGAGGCAGGAGGATCGCTTGAGCCCAGGAGTTTGAGGTTGCTGTGAGCTAGGCTAATGCCACAGCACTCACTCTAGCCAGGGTAACAGAGCGAGACTCTGTCTCAAAAAAAAAAGGAAAGGGGTTTAGATCCTCCAATTTTCGTCAACGTAATTGCAAACTCCCACACTGTAAATCAAACCCCAATCCATCATGGAGTCTAGGTCACAGGCAAGTTCCCTGTGGAGGCACAGAAATTTATATCACTCAGTCCCCACCCTGCAGGAGTCAGTGACATGTATATACAATCAACACAAACCCTGGCACAAGAGGAAAGTGTCCCAAAAGGAGTTTAGATGACAGGCAAGGCATCTGGCAAAGAGAAAATCACCTCTGATGCGGGAGACCCTGCAGAGCTGGGGGAGGAGGGCACCTATCAAGCTGCCTCTTCAAGATCTGAGATCTGGGAGGAGGCAGAGAGGACCTGCGAGGCCAGACCGGCAGGCTGGGAGAGGTGAGGGACTCCCCTCCACCCAGCCAACCCCCAGGCGTCAGTCGTGTGGTGTGCTGTGGGCCGGGAATGTTGCAAGGTAGGGGATCGGGCCTGGGGAAGGGGGACCGTAGTGTCTGAGCCAGGGCCGGGTCTGACATGGGGTCCTGGCAGGACCCCCAAGAGGGGCAGGACCCCAGGATGACGTGGAGGAGATGGAATCGGCAGGAACCGCAGCTGGTTGGACGCCGGCACGGCAAGGGGAGGAGTCAGAGTGACTCAGACTTCCATCCCTGGGGCTGGGAGAATGGCAATGCCATTATTAGACATCAGAAAATAGGAGGAGGAGGAGGTTGTGGGGAGGTGCTGACAGCAGAACTATTTTTGGCCGTCCAGGACTGATTTCCCTGCCAGCGGTCTGCGCCCCTCCCCCACGCAATCTGCCCTACCTGCCGCTTCCAGCGCGTCCTCCCGAGCCCAGCCCCGAGCAGCTGCTCCAGCTCCGACACCTGCAGTCGCTTGCCACTGCCACGCCCAGCTCTGAATCGCTGATTACAGTCCGTGCCTTCACCTCCCTCACCGCCCTTGTCTTCTATCTCCGCTCCCCTTTTCCCTAAACCCAGCCATTCCCTGAACAGTCTCTGCGTCTGTGCCTTTGCGTTGCCCCGTCCTTCCCCCAGGTAGACTTCCCACTCCCCACAGCCACACCCAGCACACACTTGGTGGCTGCTATGCACTGAATGTCACCCCGAGAAATTCCCATGTTGAAGCCCCAGTTCACAATGTGGTGGTATTTGGAGGTGGGGTCTCTGGGAGGTAATTAGGTCAGGAGGTAGCGCCCTCGTGAAAGGATTAGTGCCCTTGTAAGATGAGACGAGCAAGAAATCCTCTCTCTCTCTCTCTCTCTGCCATGGGAGGTCATTGCCAGGAAGAGGTCCTTCAGCAGGAACTGAACCAACCAGCACCTTGATCTTGGACTTCCCATACTCCAGAACGGTAGGAAATAGATTTCTGTTATCTAAACCAAGCAGTCTATGACATTTCTGTGATAGCA